TCCTGAAAGATTTTTCCCTACACATATTTTCGTCATTGGAACTGATGTTGCTGGTGTCACTACTATTGGCTTCACTAGAACTTTTCAAGCACATATAATTCAAAATTTAAAATTTAAAAGCCATGTGCAGCAAATTAAAAGTTATTTTACTATATAAATTGCTCAGGCACAGTTTTGAAACTACAAGATTATCCAAATGTAGGTTACAGCCTACAGGGCAGTAATGCCAATACTCTTTTATGAAGTTCATAATATTTACACCAGTACATGTATTTTGTGAAAATCTAAAGGATGCGTACAATGATAATTTTACATATCACTTATATAATGCTTGCTTGATAAGGACACTGGAAACGAATGCCAAGGATATTTAGCATAATAACACAATCACCAAGAACAACTAAATCAATGCTCACTATATAATCAATGTCAGTGACAAGAAGAATACATTAACATATAAAGAAACTATTAATCTACTGCTCCATGATTCTTTCTGTACAAATAACCTCATGGTTGAAGTCCAAAATTTAAACTTCAAACCAAGGTTTATTACACTCCCATTTTACTTTTTACATCAATAATGTATTAATTATTTTCACTGAGTGGTCTACAATTAATCGCCTCCGACGCCCCAAAAGTGGAAAATACGAGGACCATAACAACAAAACCTAAAAAAATTCAAGCATATAATAAGAAAGAAAGAAATTACCTCGAGGCCGATGCCTTTACTGCCATTGTGAGTGGCTCGAATTTTGACGGAAAAAAATTGGTGGAAGAACTCGAGGGGGAGAGACGAAGAAGAAGAGCAAGGGTTCTAACGAAAAAAACAAGTCTACAGTTTAGTCGATCAGAATAAGAATTATTGTTATTTTAATATAGTTTTTATGGTAATTAAACTTGTAAAATATTAATTTTTAAAATTAAGCTTTATTGGTTTTTTAATTATATTTTTGACATTAATAAAAAAGGAGTTTTATGTAATTTTAATTATGACCAAGGGTTCGTACTTTTTTTTGCTGGGTACGTACTAATCCAATGTGGCACATTTTTATTGGTTTATTACGGTCCGAGAAGTACAGCCCCTCTCGGACCCTAGACAACCCCTAGTAAGTTGTTGGATGCTAAATACCAACACGCAAGTGCACGTATCCCAAACAAGTAGTAAAGTAGACTCGTGAGAGTCGGATGTCGATCCCACAGGGAATACGCAAATTATTTAATCCTAAGTACCAAATTCTAACAATTATGATTTTTATCCAGCCTACGCAGGGTTGTCAAATTAATTAACTAAATAAATTAAACTAATAAAGAAAGCAAATAATCACGAGAAAATATCAATATAAAACGGATCTAGGATTTTATCTCCCCCTATGCGATAATTCTTCACCCAATTAATCTCCTATCATGCAAGTTACGATTCCCGATTATTAACCCAAGACACGAAATTACTCATAACCAGCTGTCGCTGTATTACAAGCCTATTATTCATAAAAGATTCACTATATGTCTATGCAAACCTAGTATAAATAAAGCATTAAATAACAAGTCTCGTAAACGGCTACCTAAGGTATTATCTGTATGTCTACGATAATACATGCAATTAACACACTCATCCGGTGAAAACTACTCGAAGGCTCTTCTATCCCTGTTCTAATTATTAAAACGATCTGTCAATCAATTCTAACAATAACTAATAGCGACATAAATTAGCTACGTTCATGCGCCAAATAAGATCAAAATAGAAGAAATAATCGAAGAATTAAACTTGCATAAAAGTAGAAAAATAGGTTCGAATTACCACATAGGGTTCCAATAAAATCCTAGAATAAAAACTTAGCTACTCATGTTCTCTACGGAAAGCATAATAAAAATACGAAAAACCATAAAAGCTATGAATAAAAATAAAAGAGGAGAACTATGATGAAGATTCGTCAAGTCTTCGTCTTCGTTGCTCCGTTCCTAAATTGCGTGTAGAAAGATAAAAGATAAAAACTAAAGGTAAAAGATTAAAGATTTTTAAAGATTCCAAGATGTCTCTAATTGTGTGCTTTTGGCCTTTAAATAGGGTGCAAAAATATAATAGGGCGGGTTTCCTTGTGTAATTAAACTTCCTTCACTGCGCCACCTCGACCATCCGGACGGCCGTTTGAGATTTACGCCTGAAATCCGCACGGCCGCGCGGTCTTCAATTCTTCAGAAATCTGATTTTTTTCACTTTTGGCCCACTTTTTCTCCAAATTTGCAGTTTTTACCCACACCCACATTGGTGTGTGTAGATCAACAGTAAAAAATCACCCGGTGTAACCTTCACCGGGTGTAGCATAGAAATAACCACCTTCAGACATATCCAAATCTACTCTGCTCGCGCCACCTGGCAATTCAAATCCGAAATTTAAAACAACATTCGCAAGACCAAGCTCCACAATTCCCATGGCGAACGCATCCACAGGGCACCCCATTCACCCCCCTTTTAAACGGAATCAACTCAACGTAACGTTCAAAACGCGTTAAAGTTTAGGGGGCAAAACTCAAAACTCATTTAATTCTTTTAGTTTTGCACTTTGTAATTTCAACAGGATTAATGAATTTAAGAAAAATATTTGACATTTGGCATACTAAAAAGATACCAATAAAAATAATAAATTACCTTCATTATCTTTAAAAAAAATTATTCGGGGTGAATTACGCATGATTTATTGTGTTTCGAGGGTGCAAAGTGCTATTAAATTTTTTTCGAGGGTGCAAAGTGCATAAATGCTATATTTCAAGGGTGCAAAGTGGGATTAAGCCATAATTTTATTGGACCTCTCAAGATTGAATTCTTAAGTGTATTAAAAAATTTATGTAATTTCTTTCCTTGACCTATTAATTTCAAATATATATACAGATAAGTCAGTGTTCTAAAAATCGGTCGAGGCGGCCGATTAATCGGTCTCCGATGCGGAGGCAGTCTAAAACCTTTACGATTTTAGTGTAATGGTTTGAAAAATCGGTTTTTGCATGCGAGGCGGTTTTAGGCGGTGCGAGGCGGGTTGAGACGGTCAAACCTTGTAGGCGGGTCAAATTTTGGTGGCAAAAATCAGTCAAAAATCATTTTTTTTAATAAATAAAAAAAGTTGGGTTTTTAATAAATAATGAGTGTATGTTTTGTTTTATTTTGTTCATATTATTTTTTATTTTTAAAGGACCTAATGATATATGCTTGAATGTTCAATTATAATTTTGGATGCACAAGATTTTCGTTTTATTTTTATTTTGTAAGAATTTTTATTATATAATCTTATTATTATTAAAATTTTATTATGTGATTATGATATATCAATGATGTGGATAAAATCATGTTTAAATATATTTTTATATCTATTTTAAGTATTTACAAATAATATCTAAAATTATATTACATTAAATTTGAAAAACCGATTTAGTGTCGATTAATCACCGCCGCACCGATTAATCGTGAGGCGGTGCCTAACTGACTCGGGTCCGATTCCCGCCTTTTACAACCTTGAGATAAACACACAAATTTTTACTATTTCAAAAATTTTGATTTAAGAGGGGAGGTCTCTGTAATTTCAATGAGTAAGAGGGTGTTATTCCAATTTTACAGTATGAAAACTAACTCAATAGAAAATGATATATTCATTGTATCTCAATTTTCAATAGTCATCGAAAGTGTGTGATATTATTCGTTGCGTTGCGGACAAGATATCATCAGTTGGTCCCGCAGCCATCAACGCTCTTTTCTTCTTTTATGTTCCTCTTCTTTCTTTTTTGGCTGCCAGCGGTTCTTTTTTTCTTTTTTTTTTTCTTTTTTTCTTTTTTTCTCTTTTTCCCTTTTCTTTCTTTGTACAACAATGTCATTTTTATTTTATTTTTTCCTTTTTCCCTTTTCCTTTTCTTTTGTTTTGATTTTTTCTATTATTATTATTTTTATTTTTTTCATTTATTTGGTTTTTTTTTTATATATTTGTTTATAATCATAAAAAGGTAGAAACACTTAAGTAAACACTTAATTCGTAAATAAACACTTAAGTAAAGTTATTACATATTTCCATTGTGTCCTGCCCATACATGAGCTATTAAGTCACGCGGAAGGTTACGATTTTCTTTGACCGATCGTATTGTGTGACGACATCTCATATAATCACTTATTGATATGCCGCTTGTTCTTCGATTAGATCTAATAATTCCTCTTGGATTATTATTATTATTATTATTATTATTATTATTATTATTATTATTATTATTATTATTATTATTAACCATGCCCAGTGCGTTGCACCGGTGCCATTACGAAAGAGAAGAAAATATATATATATATATATATATATATATATATATATATATATATATATATATATATATATATATATTCGTTTTTGATAATTGTCCATCAAATATTTACATTGGATGCTGATAGAACTGTGTCAACAACCATAGTCCCACTCCCATCTTTATGAGTGGGACTTTATGGCATGTAGCAATAATTCATCGAATAATCTCACGTGGTTTGTTTGTGCGGTATTATATTATATGTTTCTTACTTGACCCAAAAAAAAAAGATTCCTATGGTTGGAAACAAGTGAAGGAAAAAAGAACTGCAAAGACTTCTCACCATTTGCAATTTGCTGAACAACTCCCTCCCTCTCTCTCTCTCTCTCTCTCTCTCTCTCTAAAAAAAACTAACATTCTCAAAGAAAACAATGGCGGCAGAAGCTGTGGGTGGAGTTGCCATTCAATTTCTGCTAGAGAAGCTGATATCAGTTTCTGCGGAGCAGATCAACCTCTATCGAGATTTCAATAAAGAATTGAAAAGGCTAAAAAGTTCTTTAACCATGATTCAAAGTTTCTTGAACGATGCGGAGAAGAAGCAAATCACCGACGAAACTGTCGAACGCTGGCTGCATAAGCTTGAAGGTGTGGCTTTCGATGCCGATAATGTCTTGGATGAGCTCCACTATCAACATCTCTCCAAGGAAATGAAGAAGAACAAGTGCCATTTTTTCTTCCCACATTGCATTCCCAATACGCATCGCCTAAAAATGGCACGTAAAATCAAGGATGTCCTTCAAAACTTGGAAGCGATCAACAAGGAGGCGACCGACTATGGCCTTCAAAAAGCAGTGGTGGGTGCATATGCTCCGGTTACTGGATCATCTGCAGGTTGGGAAACTGATGCATTCAATATCGATCCGATTTTTCTTGGAAGAGAAGGTGACGTGTCTGAAATAGTGAAGACGATGACTACTCTTCCAAATGATCAAGTACTCTCTATCCTCCCCATTGTCGGGATGGGAGGACTCGGAAAAACAACTGTAGCTCGGAACGTGCTCGATCATGAAGCCATAAAGGCTCATTTTGCTAAGCGTTTTTGGGTTCATGTCTCTCAAAACTTCGATGCCAAGATTCTTTTCAATAAGATTCTTACATCGTTAACAGGAACAAACGCCGCACTTGGAGATAAACAAGCAGTTCTGGAAAAGCTTCAAAAGGAGTTGGGAGCTCATAGATTTCTACTTGTTCTCGATGATGTTTGGAATGAAAATCATGAAATATGGGGTGATTTTATCAATTCGTTGAGAAAAATTACTTCTGCTACGGGAAATGGCATCGTTGTTACTACGCGAAGTGAAAATGTTGCTTCACTGGTGAAAACATTCCCTACTATGCACAAGCTAAATAACTTGTTAGAAAATGAGTGTTGGTCCATAATCAAAACAAAATCCTTCGGAGAAGGTGATATTCCATCAGAATTTGAGAGAATTGGTGTATCTATTGCAAAAAGATGCCAAGGTTTGCCATTGGCGGCCAAAGTGGTTGGGGGATTGTTGCGCGATAAGTCGATTGATGAGTGGATGTCGATTGATGAGAAATGGCTCTCAGATTTAAAAGATGAAAATCCAGTCTTCAAGATTTTGAAGCTGAGTTTTGATCATTTGTCGCCACCATCACTCAAAAAGTGCTTTGCATATTGTTCGATATATCCTAAAGGATATGACTTGGAAAGCAAACGCTTGGTTGAGCTTTGGATGGCAGAAGGATTTCTTGGAGGAAATGATGATATGGAGATTTTGGGCAACAAATTCTTTAATCGACTTTTAGAGAACTCCTTGTTGTTACAAGTTGAAAACACAAGTCGCTATAACATGCATGATCTTGTGCATGATCTAGCATCCTCTATTTTAAATTCAAGCGACCAAGTTCGGTACATGGGCCGGCAATCGTGTGCAAGCTTAAATGAACAAGCAACTTGGCTTCGTTCCTTATTGTCCAATGATAAAATATGCATTCTCATGTTCTCGAAGTTCAAATCACTGCATGTTTTAATTCTGATGGACAATTGTGTTGAAGAGTTGCCGAATTCGATCAAAGAGTTAATACATTTGAGATGTCTTGATGTCTCGGACACAGAACTTAAATGTTTGCCGGACTCTATTGGTGAACTTTATCACTTGCAGACATTAAGAGCATCTGATGACCTGGAGAAGCTGCCAAATACATTGAAGAACTTGATTGGCTTAAGACATCTCCTCATTCCTGGAATTGAATTACCTCCAGAGATGGGAAGATTAACTTCTCTTAGAACACTGCCGTACTTTGGAGTCGGCGATGAAAAGGGTTGTAGAATTAGTGAGCTCGAATGCTTGAAGAACCTGGAAGGAAAGCTGGAGATCTTTAATCTTGAGAAGGTGCATGACAAAGAAGAGGCTAAGAGAGCAGATTTATTACAAAAGCCAAAAATAGTTGAGTTAGTGCTTAAGTGGAGTAATAGAGAAGGTGGAAATGGCGATGAGAGTGTGTTGGAAGGCCTCCAACCCCACCCAAATTTAGAGAGCTTAAAGATTTGTGGATTTGGAGGAAGAAGTTTACCATCATGGTGTTCAAATATGCCGGGGCTTAATAAATTAATGGAGATAAGACTTGAAAGATGCAAAGAATGTGAACAAGTCCCAATGCTAGGGCACTTGCCACATTTGAAGAATCTTTATCTGGATGGTCTGGTGAATGTGAGATCCATAGGTTCCTCGTTTTACGGAATTGATGAAAAATGTGTTTCCTTTCCGGCACTTGAAATGCTCGAGTTGAGGGGAATGTCAGAGCTGACGGAGTGGTTACAAGCGGAATTGCGAAGTGCAGCACCTGAGAATGATCAACGACTTGTTGTCTTTCCTCGCCTCGAGTACTTGCAGATTATATATTGTAGGCAATTGAAGAGTGCTCCGAGTCACTTTCCATGTCTTAAAGAATTGCTGATTGATGGGGTGGAGAGCGAATTACCTTTGGTAAGTATATGTGGGATCAACTTAATCTCTCTTACAAAGCTCCATATTCACTCAATTGATGGATTGACGTGTCTCCCAAACTGCCTTTTCCGTAAAAATCAAAATCTTTCAATGTTGGTTATAAGCGGTTGTCGTAACTTAACGCATCTAGTTCCGTGCTTGGAAGGTGGAGGAACAGCTCTTAGGAATTTGGAGATATGGGACTGTCCGGAATTGAGAGAATTACCAGATGATCTACACACCCTCAGTGCTCTCGAGAATTTGGCGATTTACGGATGCTCAAAACTGAAGACAATACCATATCCATATGAAACACATAACGATGATGATGATGAGCAATTATTATTAGGCTTGAGTTGCCTTCGTCGATTGTTTATTGAATACTGCGATGAGCTGACCAATTTGCCAATTGAGTTATGTGCGGAGTCCCTGGAGAGTTTGACACTGAGAGGATTAATGAATTTAAGGATGACCATGGGAACGTTGATTGGGTATTGTATGCAGAAAATGCCTCGTCTCTCTGAGTTGAGAATTGTTGATGTTCCAACCACTAATAATCCATGGGAGATTGTTGGCTCTGTTACTCTCGGCAATTTGAGAGATTTAACAATCAGTTGTGATGAGTACTCAGTTTCAGCTGTTGATGCCATCTTGAAAGCATCAGCCAAATCTCTTCATAGATTAACATTGCTAGGGACAGAGCATAGTCGAGAACTACCTGGTCAGCTTCAACATCTCACTGCTCTTTCTGAGCTAGGCTTGTATGATTTTGGAGAGATGGAAGAATTGTCTGATTGGCTAATTGGGAACAACAACAACAACAACTTGTCCTCATCTTTGCAAATCTTACATCTATCCCGCTGCAAGAAGTTGCGATATCTGCCGTCTAAGGAAGCCATGCTACATCTCACCAAGTTATACATCTCGAATTGTCCGATGTTACATATAAAAGGTGGAGATAGCGATTATGGTTCTGAGTGGCCCAAGATATCCCATATCCCCTATGTCGTGTTGGATTGGGTTCAAATTCCAACTCATGCTCAGTAAATGTAACTATACTTATTACTGCATTATTGGATTTACCAGAATATTTTCTTTTTTTTCCTTTTCTTTTTCTATTGTATTTATTTTTCTTTTTGTTCTTGCAGCCTCCAAATTAAATTTGTTGCTTAAACAGAACAGGATGCTCAAGGCACATAAATATATAAATCTATTTCAAATTTATTTCGATACATATTGATTTTATTTTTATTTCATAGATTTAATTAGACACCCCTCCAGCAAAGTTTTAATTTAGGATTCGGTGCCAAACCAACATAATATCTCTTCTTCTTCTTTCTTGGGTTTACCACATTTTATTTGGTTTACATATTCATTGATCTTCTTTTTTACTATTTTCTTTAAAAATGTGGTCATTTCGTAATTTCTCATTTTTTTGATGAGTTATTAACCGAAATTGAGCATTTTTTATTAGAGTATATTATATTATAGAACTCTTGTAATATTATTTTTGTTGCACGTTGCCTCCTAAAAATGTTATTTTTATTGCACGTTTCTGAAACCGAAACTCGTAGCCATTCTAATATTGATTTAGCTTTTTGCATTAAGCAAAGAATCCTATCGAACACGACGTAAGTCTAATTCAACTTATTATATCTATCATAATAAATTTGAATTTGAAAAGGAACCAATCCACTTTAATTTCTCTAGATCCCGTTCGATCAGAAAAAAAAAAAAAAAAAAAAAAAAAAAAACAGAATATAGCTTGTTACATCCATAATACGGGAAATATTCGATCCCAGAGTGAAAAGGCTTACAAGATAGCAAACAGCGAAATACGGAGTTTGTAGAATAATCCAGAAAATTGAATTATTAATAAAAAATTGTATCAGATGTTAAAATACATTATACATTTCATCAACATAGCAGATTTAAGGTAGAGATTCACAACTAGCAGTAACCTTAAGAGGGAATTTTCTATGAATAGTAAGTCCATCAGCTTCACACATATCCAAATCTTCTCCGCTCTCGCCACCTGGCATTTGTGTAAATTGTCTTCGGTTATGGTTGAAGTGGGTCCCGCTATGTTTTTCAGTTCGTGCTTCAGTTTTGCCATGGTGCCTTATGAGCTCGGATAACGTCCACTCTATGAATGTGTATGTTGTGTCGATTCCAGCAGCAAACATGTCCTGTTAGTAGATTATTATTAAAATAGTGATCATCTTGATGAGATAAAATACTTTAAATCGAATCATTTTCGAGTTCAATTTGCAGTCTCTCGCCATACAAAAGCATGAAGATTTCAATTGAGTCTATAAATTGAACCTCTTGTTCTAAGTTTCTAACTACAGTTAAACCTCTATAAATTAACACAGAGTCCGGACTAGCAAAATTCTATTAATTTAGCGAACTATTAAATTATCGAGTTAATACTTTAGTACATTTTTGCCGACTCGGGCCGAAAGAAATTATTATTTACGCAAGGTTATTAATTTATCGAGGTTCTTCTGTATATTGCATTTGCTACAAACACATAAAAGAAAGAAACTAAAAAAATAATATTAAAGGCAAATTACGGCAACCCCCTTTAACTAAGGTTAAACTACGAAAAAATCCCTCAAGTCGGTAAATTTAGGGGCATTCATTCAGTAAAATTGTACTCAACTTCGTTACGCAAAAATTTCATACCGTTTACCGTTCGGTTCGGTAAATAAATAACCGAATTACCAAAATTTTATTCAAAATATTTAAAAAATTGATTTAATTTTTTATTTTTTTAATTAATTTTAGTTTAAATACTAACTACATATATAAAATATATGGGTAACTAGCATTAAACCGCCTAAACTTTGCCCCTTTTCGCGGATTACCACCTCAACAAAGAAAAAAAAAACTCCGATCCCACCGAACTCAATAAGTTATGCCATGTTGCCATTTTTCACCCATTTGCAGGCCAAAATGACCGGAATTAAGTGGTGGTTGTAATTAGGGTAAATAGCATTAAACCACCTAAACTTTTTGAGTTTTTGCGGATCACCACCTGAACAATTTTTTTTTGCACAACTTCACCTATACTCAATTAATTGTGCCACTTTACCCTTTTTTGCCGGTTTGCAGGTCAAAATGACCGGTTCTCAACCCATGTGCGTCGCACATGACAAATCCAAGGCTATTGACGTCTTTTCCATTTTTAAAATTGAATAAATGTTAAATAGAATAAATAAAAAAAAAAAGAAAAAAAAGAAAAAAAAACAACAAAGGTCTTCGTCTTGTTGTTCACCAGCCCACCATAGCTACTACTGCTGCAATTTTATTTCCCCTAAAATTACAGAGAGGTCAGAATACATACCAAGAACGGAAGAAGGGGAATCAAAGTCGGAAAAGCCACCATACAAGCACGGAGATGATTCCTTCATCTTTGACACAGGCTCTTCATCATTCACTTTCCGTGCATCAATTTAATACAAAAAAAGGATATCTCATTTTCCTCAAACAAAAACGAAATTCTTAATTTAAATACATACAAGGAAATAAAAATACCTTGAACAGGCGGAGAAGGAGTACCGAAGTCAAATCGGGGAACATCGTCAAATCTCTCATTGGGCTTTACCGTTGATTGGATTACATCATCGACTAAGGTTTCCAAAAATCAAACGCCAAAAAAATAGAAATAAAAATTAGGGCAAGGATAAACTCGCGTATATAACTACAGATATGCATATATATACATGAGAAATTTTAAAATTTTACCTGGTTTTGGTTTGGGTTTATTAGGTTGAGAAGCAGAGAGGTCGACGAGATATCGGCTGTGAAGCTGATTGAGGCTCATCGCCGGCTTCCTATAGCCATCCGCCATTGACGATCTTCTGGTATTGTCAGAGTGGATTTTGGGCAAGGGTTTCCTCTTACTTTTGTTCTTCAGAGTGGTAGCCGTCCGCCATTGACGTCCACCACCACATCTTCTTCAGATCCGCCGCCATCTTGACTGAAATTGGACCTAAAATTAGGTCTAAAATGTTCATTTAATTTCCCCCTTTCCCCGATTGAGGTTATATGAACACTATTTTCTCTCGATTTCTTCCTCCGAATCGACTAGATCTTCTTCCAACGAATGGAGGATTACATGAGATTCTCACAATTGAGGCCGCCCCATGCCGCGACGAAGGTGTGCGGCGCTCGGCCGTGAGATCGGGTGTGCGGAGGTGGGCGGTGGGTGGTGAGATTGGTGCGACGGCAGTGGTAATCCTTGAAATTGCAGAAGCGAGAAAGTGTTTATGTCGGTGGTGGTTTGTTCGGAGTTTTCGGGCCATGGGTTCAAAATCCAGGCTGAGTTGCTGGGTACAAGATGACGTTTTACTTTTTCTTTTTATTTTTTTAATTATTCTATTTAAGAAAATTCCATTTCAAAAAACAAAAATAAAATAAAATAAATAAATTAAAATTAACATTTATTCCATTTTAAAATGGAAAAGACGTCAATAGCCTTGGATTTATCATGTGCAACGCACATGAGTTGAGAACCGGTCATTTTGACCTGCAAACCGGCAAAAAAGGGTAAAGTGGCACAATTAATTGAGTATAGGTGAAGTTGTGAAAAAAAAATTGTTCAGGTGGTGATCCGCAAAAACTCAAAAAGTTTAGGTGGTTTAATGCTATTTACCCTTGTAATTATGCAAACATGAGGGATTTTTTCGTAATTTGTCTTACCTTAGGGGGTGGCCGTAATTTGCTCCAATAATAAAAAATCCAAGAACACATACATAACAAACTACAGAGGCACCCTGTTCCACTCAATCAAGAATTCAATTCAAGAACTGTAAAACGCAATGCAAACATTACCAAGATAAGAGCTTTGATCGAGCTTTCTTCAAGAACAAAACCACTCTCACCGTTCCTCCGAATATCGAGCAAAACATCGACAAAATCCTTCTCGTTTCAGCGAATTCCACCACTTTTCAAATGCTCCTCCACCACAAACTCCGAAAACTCATCGAGATTGTTAGAATCTATTTGGATTCTAATAAACAAGAGACGAGTAAAGACTTGTGCAACAAATCCTTATTTACCGTGAAACACAAAAGGGAAGTCTCATTGTTTAGTTTAATTCTTTAATTTGTCATTAATTGTTTTTTTATTTATTATGGAAGCCTATTAATATGAAATAGTCCAACAAATCTTGGACTTGTGCAAGACGTATGAAGAAGATTTGTTTCCTTGGTATTTTTATTAATATTATATTAATTGGTGAGGTGATAAGGGAAGTAGTGTTTTGATAAATCAAGAAGATATTTTATTATACGTAATATGAGAAGTCCTTTCCTGATGAAATTCTTGTCTTTCACGTGAATCAGGTTTCTCATAAGATGCAATATATAAGCAGCTTCTGGTGTTATTATTCGGATGTCCTTTTATCTAGAGAAGAGTTCAGAGAAAATATTTTTTTCCTCTCATTTTTATTGCTCCATCGTGATACATGATTTTCATAGAAAATATATCGGCTTCAAGGCTTTGTGGTGAAGACACCAAGATTCAACGAGTATCACAAGTTTGCTTCTTCAATACAAAAAGAAGAACGGTTCTTCAGGAGAGGGGCTTAAACAGATCTCGGGAGGAGATTGATCCGCCGACTGAAGGATTCAGTGTTGAAGGGAGTTCAACCGTGCGGAACAAGGGACGTGCTGCAAATTGAAGATTTACAATTCAGCGTAGTATACAAGAACGGCGTCAACAAAGATGGAGTCTTTGTATTTTGATTAAGTCCTAATATTGTATTCGTAAAACTAAAAATTAGTAAATTTCATTTGCAGGTCCCCGTGGATGTAGGGTACAATTGTATCCGAACCACATTAAATTTGTGTCTCGTTTATTTCTGTTTTTACGAACTGCTTAACGAACTGTTGCAACACTTCACGCAACAGTAACGAAAAACTGAATCTGATACAAATAATTTATATCTGCACGAAATAAATTCTAACAGAGATCTTCCTCGACTCCCCGAACTTTACGATTCATCCCATTAACATATTTAACCCAAACAAGCCAAGAAATGTAACTCCCCGATTTCGAAACCACCCAACAAAACCCCTAACCTCTCCAAAACATCCTTAAATCAATCACACGTTTTTCATTACACGAATTGTCTGATCTTCTCCAACATAACAGAAACCTCTTCCTCACGAACATTCCGAAAAGACTGAACTTTTTGAATCCTCAGAAGGTGATTGACGCAAATACCCTTCACGCGCCTCCAGTACTCGCCGTATGTTGAAAAGGCGATGTCTTTACAGTCGTAAATACCACGCGCCACGCTTGATTCGGGCCTGTTGGAGCAAATTGGGTCGTGGGTTTTGAGTATTTCTTCAGCTAAATCAGCTGATGAAACATTAAAGGGCCGTGTTTTCTTGATAGAGAGTGGAGGGTTTTGTGGGGGCGGAACCCTAATTAGTGGAGGTTTCCGATTACTGGAAGCTTCGGCGGCGACGGCTTGAGAGGGTTTTTGAGAGGTGGGCCGTTTTCTTTTTATGATTACGAAAATTATTGTGAAAAAGGAACAAGGGGAGAAGAAGAAATTTGGAAACATCCATGGGTTTTCTTGATCGTCAAAGGTGTAGGAAAACATTAATTTTTATGTCTGAAAATTGTGGAATGTGGATTTGTAAGTGTAAAATTGGTGAATTTTGAAGGAGAAATGGAGATGGAATCTTTTAATGATTGTGGGGATATTAGCTTTAACAACGGCAAGTGGGAAGTAGAGTTATAGCCCGATGGCTATAACTTAACTGGTTTCGGAGGTGGTAAGTTGGTATAAAAATAGGGGCGTGCTAAATCTCACACTAAAATTTACTAAATCCCACACATAAATTGAAAAAACACTCTCTCTATACTCATATTCTTTCTAACTTTTCTCTAAGATAATCTTATCAAAGTCACCCAAAATTCATTAATTTTTTACGTGAATAATCATAAAAAATGAGTTCAATTTTATTATTATCTATTCAATTTCATTAAGCATTTTTAATTATTCAAATTCATATAAATTCGATTTTTTTTTTCTCAAATTTCAATTTTATTTTAGTTTGAACACGTGAAGATTTTTCTCAAATTCGAACTTGAAATGCAAGGGATGTTTTTAGTGTGTGATTTTGTGGAAAAGTAACTAGGGCAAAAAGAATAAAGGTAGAGAAGGAGAATAGTTTCAGTTGTGTGCAGGATTTGGTAAAATTAGTGTCGGATTTAGCATTTCAGATAAAAATAATATGTTACATAAATATCATCAAGAAATTTGTTGAAACTCATTAACCATAAATTTGTATTAGGGGAAATTACAGTTTTCACCCCTCAAGTTTGCACTAATTTCACATTCGGTCCCTCGTGTTCATAAAAAAACACATTAGGTCCCTCATGTTTCAATAATTGAAAACTTTTGATCGTTTCCGTGAATTTACCGTTAGTCCGTTAGTTAAGCAAGTCATGGAACACGCTTGATTCCGTGAGTTTTAACGAAAAATTGACGAAAATGACTAAAAGTGTTGAATTTTTGATACATAAAGGACCAAATGTGTTTTTCGTAAACATGGGGACTAAATGTGAAATTGGTGCAAACTTGAGAGACAAAAATTGTATGTTTCCCATTTTTATTTCGTAGGCAGTGGCGAAACCATGATTTCGTAGACAGTGGCCGTAATTTGTCCCTCCCTCTATGTATTGGGGTGAGATTGTACAATCCCACATTTTTTTTTTTTGAGAAATACAATCCAACACTTTTAGATGACATTGTTATAACACATTAATTCACATACATAATCCCATCCTACAAACCAATCACACTTTATTAAGAACCTAGGAGTTGGTTTAACAATCCCACCATTTTCTTGAATCACATCTCAATTAAAAGATGAATCAAGAACACTCCAACTTAGAAATAAAAGCATCAATATTTAGGTCAGAAGTGCCACCCTCACTAACTGCCTCCTTAGCAGAACCCCTCCACTTAACACAATTCCTCTTCATCTCTTTCCCCTTCTCCCCTTCCATCACTTCCCTTACACAACTCTCAATTTCCTCTCTCCTCACAATACCATCTTCTTCGGAAACCCTAACCCTAATCCCCACTCCCCAAACGTCTTGCACGAGCTTAGCATCCGTCGTTTGATCCGTCCACTGCGGCATCACAACCTCGGTCGTCGAATTCCAACCGCCGTGCGAGAAGAAACAACCTACGGCTTCGTTCGACAGAACTTCCAGCTGCGGGCTCCAGTGCGCGAACAGTGCCCTTTCGGACGAGGCCCGGACGAAACCTTCCGGAAGCTTCTCTTCCTTGTCGGAAACCCTAATTACCCAAAGGAAGTTGAAATTGGTGTTGTTCAAGCCCCATGCAATCTCTTCCATTTGTGCTTTGGGGAGATTGTCCATGCTGCCGAACGCTATGTAGACGACCGATTTTGGTGGCTTTGTGTTTAGCCAATCGAGGATTGGTTGCGAGGGGTCCGATTGGAAGAGGTTTACGTCGTATTTGTCGTCGTTTTCGATACGGTTGTCCAAATAGAAAGATGGGAGTGTTGGTCCAATTGTTAGCATTGGACACACTTTTGTCATTGAATCCACAACCTGTCGTTGGAAGAAGAATTGGCAAACATTTACGTACATAAAAAATATGTAATAAAAAAATAGATTGATTTAATTTTCTATTTTTCTTAGTTGCCCCACTTTTCATACGTTGATAGTGATGCAGGCACAAATATTTCAAAAAAGACAAAGTTGATTGAGATATTCAAATTTTTACATCGATAATGATAAGAAGAGTCGTCTATGTCTTTCTCTATATATAATAATAATAATATTATTATTATTATTGCTGGGTAGAGCTTGTTACACATGGTTAGCCTACTATTTTTTACGTCTCTCGTATTGCAAATTTTTATACGAGGGTGTAAAGTTTGCCCAATGCACCTATATAATTAGCTGCCGGTTCCTTCATTAAAAAAAAAAAAAAAAAAAAAAAAATTTGGATAAAAGAGTCTTGATCTAAAATGTCCAATAGTATTAGTAGTTCATTGTTAAATATCCAAAACTATAAAATTAACATAAATTAATGTGGTATTATTTTTATCATTAATCCAAACTTGTAAATCCAACCCAGTTTTTTATACCAATTTGACCTAATTAAAAACACAACTCTAGTACTTTTTTGATGTTTAATTAGATAATGTAATTGTTACATATTATATTTGCTTTTCAAAATGAGACTATTTTATATATCATAATAATGGGAAAATTACAGTTTTCATCCCTCAAGTTTGCATCGATTTCACATTTGGTCCCCTTGTTCACTAAAAACGCATTTGGTCCCTCATGTTCCAATAATTTAACACTTTTGGTCATTCCGTCAGTTAAGGCAGTCATGGATAACGCTTGATTCCGTTAGTTTAACCGGAAAATTGACCGAAATGACTAAAAGTATTGAATTTTTAATTTAAACATAAGGGACCAAATGTGTTTTTTCTGAACATGGGGACCAAAATGTGAAATCAGTACAACCTTGAAGGACGAAAACTGTATTTTTCCCTCATAATAATTCTTAATTCAGTTAACAA